CTGTTGTTTCTTCGGTCCATATTCCCTCCTTGTCCAGCGTGAAGCGGTAGGGTCCCTCCTTTGGCGGCATCGCCTTCGCCATGCTCCTGGTGCTGACGTGTGGCAGCTCCGCAGCCAGTTCCGTTTCCCTCCGTCCCCTAGCGTTTTCTTCTACCTCCTTCTCTTTCGCCATGGTTGCGTCTGTTTCCCCGTTGGGCGGGAAATGTCGCTCGGTCAGAACTTGTCACTCTGCCGGTCGCTGTCACTTTCGAGTGGCCCGCGCGGTGCGCTTCGACGCACGTGCCAATATGGCTGCGTCTGGGTAGTTCCTCGGGTAGCCCGTGTAGAGGCACTGTTGTCACGCGTCCTAATATGGCTACTCCACCGTCCTAACCTCACACTTGGTTGGTTTTGCTTTAACGCCTTGTCCAAGCCAGATTTCTTGTAGCTACACCCGCTTTGCATTCACAGGCACTAGTCCTCCACTCTGATTACCTCCCTTGCCTAAGCTCTCCAGTTTTCCGGAGAATTCGATTACGCTCGCAGCTCCGTCCTCTCTACGTGTGCCTCCCATATATCCCCCCTCCAGCTCCCTAACCCCTTAACCTACGATTTACGTTCGAAAATGCCCGTAATATATAAGTTTGGTCCGACCATCCTACTACGGGCTATGCCCGTAATATTTACGTTTGCTTCGATCATCGTACTACGAGCTATGCCCGTATTTGTAGGTTAAAGGGTTAATATTGTCACGATCAATTCATTGCTTAAGATCAAGTATATTTATCTCATACAGGTATATTCGTGTAAATATTTTCCATTTGCAAATATTCATACAGAATGTTAACATACATATTTATAAATAGCACGAATATATTCTCAAGTGTATATGTTTAACTTAATTATTAAAAAACTAGTTATTATAATCACGCTGTGCAAGAAGACCTGTCCTAAACTAATAAATTTGAAAAAAAGAGCGTTACTACTCACGGGTATAAAAGATACCCGCGTTCACTATGCTCGCAAAGAATTCTACGTAATACACCCAGACACCTGTGCCGATTCGGACTTTCCATTCTACGACATGATTCAGTGGCCGAAGGAACAGAAAAGCATGCGACTCACCATTAGAAGCGGAGAAGCGGAAAACATTGCCATCGATACTGCACTATCTCAGCAACTATTATTAAAAAGACTAACATCAGGCAGGAACCGTTGAAAATCCAATAGTGGAAATGGAGGTTGTGACAAATCTGTTACAAAACAAAATAGGATAAGTGATCGCTGATTATTTGGAAAGTTGGAGATTATGAAAAATGGAAATTTATTACATTTGTAACTTTAGCAATAATAAAGATTGAAATAAACATCCATACATGTAAAAACTGTAACTCTAATATAAAAGTTTAAAATCTAAAAATCAAGAATCTAATGATTTTTAAATATATTAGTCATTTGTCTTATAATTTGGTATTAAAACGTTTTTTATTTTAATAGAAGGATAATCTTAGAAAACCCTAACCTCCTTTTTTTATACATGACACACCCGGCCTTTCCTCACTCACCGTTCGGAGCGGAAAAACAGAGGACGTTACCATCGATACTGCACTATCCCAGCGAATGTCTTCAGGAAGATTAACATCAGTCAGGACCCGTTGAAAGGCCAATGGTAAAAATGGAGGTTGCGACAAATCTATTACAAAACAAAACACAATGAGTACTCGATGACTATATGAAAAGTTGGAGATAATGAAAAATGAAGGTTTATTAACTTTAGTAGCTTTAGCAATAATAAAGATTGAAATTCTAATAAACTTTGATAAGTATAAAAACTGAAACTCTAATAGGAAAGTGTAAAATCTAAAATAATCTGAAGTATGTTAGTCATTTGTTTTATAATTCGGTATTAAGATTTTAACACTTATTTTACATTAATGAAAGAATAATCTCAGAAAATGCTATCCTCCCAAATTTTCAATCAAATCGTATTTCTTCATACATAGCGATCAAAGAAATATATACAGAATAGACATAACTGAAAGTAAGTATGTAAAAATACTTACATACTGTATACATGTAAAAACTGTAACTCTAATATAAAAGTTTAAAATCTAAAAATCAAGAATCTAATGATTTTTAAATATATTAGTCATTTGTCTTATAATTTGGTATTAAAACGTTTTTTATTTTAATAGAAGGATAATCTTAGAAAACCCTAACCTCCTTTTTTTATACATGACACACCCGGCCTTTCCTCACTCACCGTTCGGAGCGGAAAAACAGAGGACGTTACCATCGATACTGCACTATCCCAGCGAATGTCTTCAGGAAGATTAACATCAGTCAGGACCCGTTGAAAGGCCAATGGTAAAAATGGAGGTTGCGACAAATCTATTACAAAACAAAACACAATGAGTACTCGATGACTATATGAAAAGTTGGAGATAATGAAAAATGAAGGTTTATTAACTTTAGTAGCTTTAGCAATAATAAAGATTGAAATTCTAATAAACTTTGATAAGTATAAAAACTGAAACTCTAATAGGAAAGTGTAAAATCTAAAATAATCTGAAGTATGTTAGTCATTTGTTTTATAATTCGGTATTAAGATTTTAACACTTATTTTACATTAATGAAAGAATAATCTCAGAAAATGCTATCCTCCCAAATTTTCAATCAAATCGTATTTCTTCATACATAGCGATCAAAGAAATATATACAGAATAGACATAACTGAAAGTAAGTATGTAAAAATACTTACATACTGTAATATCGGAAAATAGAGATAGAAATTTTTTTCCAATTGCTTACAATTTATTAATATTAAATTGAATATACAAATATAAATTGGACAGAAAACGATATTTATTTAACGGAAACTAAATGCAATACTCGTATCTATATCAAATAACTTTACAGTTATTTGACCACTCTCGTCACAATGAATCTAACACACATACCCTGTCTCTCTAACAACTCTATCAATTCTCACGACTCTACTCTTCGACGACACGATTATCTCTAACGACTCTACTCTTCGACGACTCAATTAGCTCTGATTCTCGCAACACGCACACTTTTCGATTCGCACACTCTGATCTTTCGGTCGTCCCGCCTTGGCTAGCGAAACCGCCCCCCGCCTTGGATAGCGAAACCGTCCTTCTTCTAACGTTATCTATTGTTTTCCTCGTACCTATGTAAGACCTACCAACTACTTGCCTTTAGTCACGTAGGCACTCTTAAATGTAAACGAACCACAGAAAGACGACGTACACAGTTTTTTCTATTTTCAACTGATTTCTAATTCGAACTACCTTACGATATTACAATACCTGGCTTTTGAGCCACTGTTAGAACACTCCTAAAGATGAAGAAGAAGTTGAAGCAGTGACATGTCTATAACGAGACATAAGATATCATTAATATCGGTAATACATATTAACAAACTTGAAACTTTAGCAACACCAAAGACTAAACTCTAATAAATATGTAAATTGGAACTCTAATATAAAAGTCTCAGCACAAAACATTCAGTGATGCGTATCAGACAGTTTTATTGTCCGTTAATGTTAAGACTTTAAGACTTTATTTCAATTAAAGAAGGCATTAGAGCATTCTAAACTATCAATCATTTTTATTGTATAATTAACAATAATTCAAACAAAATACAATAAATAGAACAAATTGAAATACAATATGTAAAACTACATTCTTGAGCTCCTGCAGAAGCCTTGTTCTCTTGAGAGATGCATTGACTCTAATACCAAAAAAGAATGTTCAAAAGAATATAAAATAAGATCACATTACCGCGACCGCTAAAATTATAATCGGTGAACAAGAACTCTAATGTCGCGTACAAAATTGTTTGATAAAAATTTATTACTTTCGTGTGTGATTATTTAATTGGATTAAATTATTGGAGTAATTAAAACCGACGCCGCCAATACGTTACAAACCTGACGCAATGCGATCCATGTTATCGGTACGAAATAAGACGACTAAATGACTCCTTGCGCCATAGTTTCATCGAGTAACTTACGAAGAGGGGGGGGGGGCACATGAGCCTATGGCACAAGCAGCTACGCAGTTAACGATTCTACGTAGTTACAGATTAACGATCTAGACAAAGAAATTTTTTTTTTTTTATTCTATTTGTTGAAATTACAATCAATTCTCGCGTTGAGAATTTTCAGTAATTTTTCTGGCGTGGCGCAGTGACATGGCTGTTTATTTACAATAAGTTATACTTATTATAGATAGGTATAATTTATTAGTGTTATAGGTAAGTGCATATGCTTAATTGGATAATTAAGTGAATCTAACGTTTAGGTCTAGCGGGTAGTGCCTCTTCAGCCTGCGAATCTGGTCTGTCGTATCGAGTAGTCCAGTAATTAGGGGGTTTCGGTGTTTGTGGACTCTTTTGCTATATCTGTCGCTATATTTCGCTATTTCCTCTTTGACTGTTGGTATCTTGAGGTCGCGATGGATGGTTTCGTTGGTAACATACCAGGGTGCGTCTATTAAGGCTCTTAGCGTTTTCGATTGGAATCTTTGTAGTATTTCGATGTTGGAGTTACTAGCTGTTCCCCATAGTTGGATTCCGTAGGTCCAGACAGGTTTTATTACGGTCTTGTAGAGGGTAATTTTATTCTGTATGTTTAGTTTGGAGCGTCGGCCCGTGAGCCAATAAAGTTTTTTTAGTTTGTCCTTAAGTTGCTTCGTTTTATCTGAGATGTGTGTCTTCCACGTTAGTCTCCTGTCCAGGGTCATGCCCAGGTATCGGACTGTGTCCCTGCTAGGAACTGTTGCATTGTTGATGGTGACCTGGGGGCAGGTTTGTTTCCGGAGCGTGAAGGTTACATGTGAAGATTTCTTTTCGTTAATTTTGAAGCCCCATTTGTGGAACCACTTTTCCATGGAGTCGAGACTTCGCTGGAGAGTGGATGAGGCTATTACCGGGTCTGCGT